CGGAGTGACGTGTTCGCTTCCCGAATGCTGGTGAGCGACTGAGCTTCGAGCTTGGTAATTTGAAAGAAGCCGCGTAAGTTATTCGTACAATATGCTTAACTGTTTCTTGTTGGTAGACTGTACTGAGATCCATTACCATATAACTTATTTTACCGCTACAGTTACTGCCAATAGTAATTTGGTAGGCGGCGGGTTGGCTCTGCTCCTGACGGTAACCACTCACTATGAGGTGGGCCGTATGCTCGTCCGCCTAAACGACAACTTCACTTGACAGAGCTAAAATCTAAAATTTTCTGGCCGTTACCTTCTGATTTCTATGGTTTTCGGTTATCGCTAAACATCGGGGGACCGCGAGCGCGTTTAGTGAAAAAATAACAAAGAAACTTATAAAAAATTTAACAGCCTCATAGGAATACAAAGATTTAATGTTATCCTCGGATAACGCGAGTCGTAGATAAATTATTTAAAGCTACATACTGCTTTTACTGTTTTCTTATTTTTTCAGACTTTTTTTATTGCTCAAGTCGGTGAGCTAGCCCACGGCCCACCTGATGTTAAGTGGTCACTAGAGCCCATAGACATATACAACGTACCAGTACCTACCTTGAGATATGAGTTCTAAGGTCTCACTTTTAACAGTACAACGGCTGTCCCGCCCTTAAAACCGAAACGCATTACTGCTTCACGGCAGAAATAGGCATGGCGGTGGTACCTACCCGTGTGGACTCACAAGAGGTCCTACCACCAGCATACGTAAACCACGTTTCGAATGTCTTACAGCTTTCGTGGTCACCACCGACGACCGAGGTTTATTTGACGACGTCTTAAGCGCGGTAAACAATTCACCAAATTTTTTAATAGTCTATTTTTTTATTGCTTAGATGGCTGGACGAGCTCAGAGCCCACCTGGTGTTAAGTGGTCACTAGAGCCCATACACATCTACAACGTAAATGCGTCACCCACCTTGAGATATAGTTCTAAGGTCCCAGTATAGTTACAACGGCTATCCCACCCTTCAAACCGAAACGCATTGCTGTTTCACGGTAGATATAGGTGGGGTGGTGGTACCTACCCGTGCGGACTCATAAGAGTGAAAAACTAATAACAATCTATATCTATTCTATACTAATATTATAAAGAGGAAAGATTTGTTTGTTTGTTTGTATTGAATAGGCTCCGAAACTACTGAACCGATTCGAAAAATTCTTTCACTGTTGGAAAGCTACGCCATCCCCGGGTGACATAGGCTATATTTATTATATTTTCAAAAAAATTTGGGATCCTTACTGAAACTCCGATAATGTAACCCAACGTGTAAAAAATTACATAATTTTTTTTAAATCGCGTGCGCTCCTACCCATGCGAAGCCGGGGCGGGCCGCTAGTATTCAATAATTCGGCGAGATATAACAATTTCTCTCGTATACCACGACTGAGGTAACAACTACTTTTATTACATTAATAAATTGTGTTCGGTAGTTTGTTAGCGTATCGTAATAATGTTATTGTTACGTTCATTGTGATAGAAATGAATGTTATATTGTATGACATGTTTCTGTAAGAAAATAACATCTTTTTCTTGTACGAATATATTATGTTTCAATCTATTGTATTCGACTATAGACATGTAAAGAAAAACCTTTATTATTTAAAATTCTTTAGTTTTTAAAAAGGATTTTTCTGCGTGTCATGGAGTGAAGTCTGGCATTGAGTAAAAAGAGAGTTCAGTTTTGTATAGTTTATTAATACTGTTTACTGTTTAATTTTTAATATTAAAAGAGTTTAAGAACTTTAAATATTGTTTTGTTATTTTATCACGGAACACACGATTAAGTCTTTTATTGTTTATTCATTCTAAAATACTCCATATCATTATATACAGATAACTGTAATAGAAAAGTATTAGTAGTAGTTTTATTTTTCCAAATGGAAAGGCAAAAGTATCACACCATAAAGCTTAATCTTTTATATATATATTTTTTATGAAATATGATATTATGAAATTAAATGAAGCTGATTAATATGAAGCATGGCATGGCATGAAATGAAATGAAGAATTTGAGACATTAATCAACTGGGATGAAATTAAATGAGATGAGATGATATGGGATGAAATATAAACTCAGTAAAATGGTGGTCGTTTGCTGAGATATTTTCAGTGGACTTTTTGGGGGATCCCAAGAAGTTACGTCCAACCGCTTTGTTTCATTTTCCCACATTTGTGCACTTTCCCAGATATTAAACAGTTAATAAACCACCGTTATTACACATTTAAATGGAATAGACGAATCGAATGTCATTCTGATAATTTCAGTTACACAATACCAGAAGTAATGTACTTTTTGCCAATCCACGTTTCTTCGTCATATGTCTATGGGCGAACGAGGGTGCAGCCCATCTAATTAGTTACCAGAGTCCGTAGACATCATAGCGTTAACGCTGCGGTCATAATGAGGTTTTAGATCGAAACCACAATAGTACTTAGTAGTACTTACCTATCTACCCAGCTGGAAGGCGTAATTGCTTCGCAGTCTTATTATTGGCATATTTATATTGGATGATAATTCCCTGTTTTTAAGCTACTGCATAGATTTTATCGCGGGCCTTGAGCGCGGCCTGAGAGCGGATTCATGAAATTCCGTAACGAAAAAAACCTTCCACCCTCACTACGCCTACTATGTAGCTCGCGTTCAACACATTCACACGTTGCGCTTATGTAGTGTTTAAAGAAAGTAGTCTTAACACCGATTTATATACTATCAAAATATGTGACATAATTTCGTGGGTAACACAACGATAGCGCGATTCAGCTTTTCGTCAAGCGCCATCTATCGGGGACAAACGAAATTGTAAAATAGAAAATTAAATCATATTACAATGCGTTGGGCGTGCCATTTTCTATCGCTTAGTCGAAGAATTTTATTAGTACTTCTACTACTCATTCAGTGATTGGAGTGGCATCAAAAATAAACTAGCTAAGCCGTTGATTCTGGGCAAATGAGAGTTAGAACTAGTATCCAAAGGCGTGTCTCTATCCCATGTAGCAACCTCTAGTGAGTGCGCGGTCAAAATGGAATACTCACAATGTAGCAGATTCATTGAAAGTTAGCCCACTGAGTTTCTCGCCAGATCTTATTTTATTGTTGTTTTAATTTTAAATTATTATTGTCGATTTGCATAAGTTGATAAAAAATGCTATGCAATAGCTTTAGCGCGGCAGTCTCCGAGTGCCACACGTCTTTTTTTTTTTTTTTTTTGGTCGGTAGGAATTCCTCTGATGCAGGTTGGGGGTGAGATGACGCGTTTTGCGTTGAGCCTCCTGAGCGTATGTGTCTCCGTCAACTTACACCCACGGACTGGACGGTAACTGACTCTGCCAAGAAGACCAAAGGGCCTAACTGCCGATTTTTGCAAGAGAGCGTAGATGTCGCACAGCAACTGCGACGATCGGCAGTAATAAACTGGTATTTCTGCGGCATAGGACACCATCACCATCCATTCTAAGTAGAATGAACGGTGAGCCTGTGTTCAAGTCACATCCATTAGCACTTGCGGCATTTGGAAGATGAGGCGTCCTCGGTGGCGATCCCTCAAGGAATTTGTGGATAGGAAATTGGTCGTGAAGATGCATTAACAACTTTTACCTACGATGATTGTATTTTTTTCGACGACCAGATAGCAGACGAGCATACGGCCCATCAGATGGTAAGTGGTTATCATCGATCATGGAAATGTCAGGGGTAGAGCCAAGCGGCTGCCTACCATAAAACTATTGTACTATTGAAACTAAAATGCCAGGAACATAGTCTTCCTTTTCTTGACTGAATCTACGTCTCCTCCCTAATTCATAAGGCTAATAAGTGTGTTATTCCAAAATGGTACTGCATGTTTCTGTTACGAAACAGTCATGGGTCTGAAGGGCGAGCCTAAAGTCTTGGTACTTTTATGCACTTAGCATCAGTTGAACCGCGAGCTTTTCTGTCTATACTAGGTATTAAAGTCATATAATGAAAAGCCAATAGGGCTTAGCAAAAGAGGTATGTTCGGTAGGTATGCAATGTAAAAATATGTATGTAGTAACCTATTTCGTATGGGTCCAAACTTCGTCCCAAAGGACTTCATATATCCATCTTCATTGGATCCACATCTTATCCGCGATAACGTGACATCGTTGCGAATATTGACATCCGTTATTTATTATGGCTTCGTTATTGAATGGAAGTGGTACGTTACTTCGAACTATTCTTTGAAATGCATATTTTTGAGATTACGTTAAAATATTATAAGTATGAGTTTTAATATTTTTCTGAGAACAAAATATTATGTAAAACACTTTCTGTTCTGATTGTTGAAAAGATACGCCTCGAAGGCTCCGTCAGCTGGTCATCCTTGGGGTGAGCTGCGCGTCTGGTTGCAGAGTTGGCCGCGATAACCTCTGACCATCCTTGGGGCCGCGGTCCTCTCCCGAAATCGGCGGATCGTCTAGTTCCACATACACCACGCATCCCATAGGTGCGGGGACAACGCCAGGTTCGGCCCCCGGCCCAGAAAAAAAAGCTATCTGCTTGGGCTACCGCTCTGAGATACGGTGCTCTTAGGTACCACAAGCACCGGTCACCGTTCTCGTCGAACCCGTCGATTGCGACGAAGGGCTCGACGAGTGAATTAACCTATAGATATAGCCTATTGAGTTTCTCGCCGAATCTTCTCAGTGGGTCGCGTTTCCGATCGTCACGTCAAGGAGGAACTGAAATAGCTTCTCAAGGCTATTAACATGGGTAGGGAAAAAAAATTAGATTCAAGATTCAGTGGTATTGTTTAGTGGCTGTCTCACCACTGAAGTATAGCTATGAACTTATTTCTCACAGCAGAAATGCGTCAAGTGGCAGTGTTTACCAGCCAGATTTAGAATATGGGTTGAATATTGTATATTTCAAGAGAGGGTAAATCTTATACACGGACAACAACATGGAATAATTAAATAAGTAATATCATTTGTATATTTTAATATCGATCCGTTAATAAATTACATTAATAATATTACGTTACATAATATTTTCTTAGAACTAAGGAAATGCTTCATTTTGTTTAACTAATTATGTTAGTTTATTCAAATACATTTGCCAAGTTCAAATGTATATTATGTGTGGATGCTTTAAAAATTGTTTTTAGTGATTGATTAAAAATTTGATGAAAAAAAGTTCAGGAGATATCTATGCTTTACATTTCACGTTTCAAATTTTCACTTGCATTTACGTGTACCATGAAAAAAGTTTGAAATATTTTTATAATTAATTGCTACATTTGTTTTATTAAATCGAGCGTGAACGCGATCCTTACCACCGTGTTAATTACGAAACATCAACATACTTTGTATAATTAAATGATTTATAATTTAGTTCAAAATAATATTTTGCAAATGAAAATCTCATTAAAATATTATTAAATCATCCGACACATAATACATTTGAAATATACATACCTATAAAAAAAAAACACTCTAAAAAATAGTCTCATAACTTATTTACCTAATTATTTGGTGTACGCTATCTAATTATATATAAATTGCTGCATTCTACAGGGCTTAATCACTGATTATATGTAGATAGCTATCAGTCAAACTAAAGCTTGACCGTAGTTAAGTCACATATCAACAGCTATGCGATACATATGTAGATATGTGTGTACATGTAATTATTTACAAACACTTTCCGGAACTAAAAATCTCTCTTAAAATTCATTTACATATTATCGATGCCACCTAGTGGAAGCTATATATATATATAAGAGTTCCCGTTTCTTTTGTGTTCACATTGTTTATTCCAATTTTAACGCGGGTGGAACCGCGGAACACAAATAGCAATAAACAAATTTAACCCAGTTTTTTTAAAAGGCTATCGAAATGAAAGCGTCTGTCTGGTTAATCTAAAAAAGGCAGCTTCGTCTGCCTTCGCCAGATGCTTTAACCAAGGCTGAGCTCAGAAAGATATGAAATGATGATATGATCCGGGAAAATTCAGTCTAGACACGATCTAAAGATATGAAGATCACGACAAATAATAAGTAGTTTACTGATGTTGCACGACTGATATTTACTTAAACTACATAGATAGATTACTCTATGTCATCATAAAGATTAATAACATGGCAATAAAACAGTTTTGACATTAAATGAGGCTTTAGGGAACACACAAAACAAAAAAAGAATTGAATTAAACCTTAAAAACTACCAAGGAACATCTCAATTAATCCACTTTTCTCGTCTTCTTAATTTCTAACAGCTTAAGCATATTTAAACACCAGAACATTGCCGAGACCACGTAGAATATCTGGAGGGTCGTGCCCAAAGCCGGGCTGGTGAGTGTTATGGTTCTAGTCAAGAACGCCAGAGCTGAACATCTTAGGACTTCTAAAATAGGGGCGTGTCGCGAATTGTCAAACAGCATCCCGATTACAGATAACGATGCTATGATGTAGACGACGAATATCAAAACAGAGATGGGTGTCATGCCCTGAAACAAAAAAAAGCTTAGTTTAAATAAATTTCTATTATAATAACAGATTTACATTGAGAAAATAAATAAATAAACGAATGTAACGGACGTTAAAGATTACGGAATACATTAAGTTATAGATGCGACCCAAACGCCATCTGTCCCTTGTTTTTTAAGTTGCATAGCTTTTATCGCGGGCTTTGAGCGCGTCGACCGAATCAAGAAATTCCGTAACGAAAATAAAACCTAACATCCCCCACTCCGCCTACCATGTAGCTCGCGTTCAACACATTCACACGTTGCGCTTGTGTAGTGTTTGTGAATAAGCGCGTGGCGTGACGTTACACTGCATGCGCATCGTGAAAAGTCTGCCCATCTGTCTCTCGCGTGGTCTAGTTTATGAGTGTGAAGGGGACAGGTAGGCGAGCAAGAACTCAGCTAGGAGGGGTGGGATTTGCTAACAGCTGCCCGAGCGCCTCCGAAGGAGACCTAATAACTCAAGAGCAACTGCTTCGCGAATGAATCCCTTGTTTTATTACTGTAGTTGAACAGTAAAGCCTGCATATCGCCGATGCTAAATCGTGATTAGAAATCATGAGACATGAAGAATCACAATTGTAACCTTAACTAGTAGGTGAGCTCACGGGGCTCAAACCTGACGAAGTTGCTAACACGAACCCTAGCAAGAGCCGTGCTTCGCAAAATCTACCACCGGATCGGAAACGAGAGAACACTGAGAAGATCCGGCGAAAAACTCAGTGGGCTATGTCTGAGGGTTAATTTACTCGTCGAGCCCTTCGTCGCAAGCGACGGGTGCGACAAGAACGGTGACCGGTGCTTGGGGTACCTAAAAGCACCGTTAGTGGATCGGGAGGATCCGAGATGACGTGTTTGGGGTGACGTCGACTGCTTTCCATTCTTTCCACAGGATCGGGAATGAACATACATAATTTTTCGTAACAAGTTTAATAATGAATCGGACTAGTGGTGGGACCTGAAACTTATTTAGGCTTATCCCCCCGAGCCGTTAACGGACCCTAGTAATTACGTCACGAGCGATCCAAACTGAAATTGAACGAACGTAACCGAATTAGATTTTATAATTCATTAAGCAAATTCTGGATTTATCCAAAGCTAGGGCGGGTACACACTGAGCTCGGAATGGCCCGAAGCTTAGGGGAGCGAAGTTTTTGTGTATTCTACATACTGTAAATATGGTTGATATTTAAACTGGGATTATGTTGTTTGTTTTCAAAAAGGGATTGTTTACATTATAAATTGAGACCACTGTAAGAGTCGGACTGAAAATATTATCATTCGATGTTTACATTAAAACTAACTACATATTTGTATTATTTTACAACTCATGTGAAATGGATTTTTTTTTTTATTCCTTAGATGGGTGGACGAGCTCACAGCCCACCTGGTGTTAAGTGGTTACTGGAGCCCATAGACATCCACAACGTAAAATGCGCCACCCACCTTGAGATACAAGTTCTAAGGTCTCATGTATAGTTACAACGGCTGCCCACCCTTCAAACCGAAACGCATTATTGCTTCACGGCAGAAATAGGCAGGGTGGTGGTACCCACCCGCGCGGACTCACAAGAGGTCCTACCACCAGTAAATGGATGTTAATAATCATTTTAATTTTTATCATTGCTTAATGCTTTCAGTTATTTGTGAGTTCGTACTAGTAGCTACTATGGTCTTGCCTATTTTTGCCGCGAAGTGGTCATAAGATGAAATTTGAAAGCAGCGACAACCATTGTACAACAATTTTTCGGAGCTTAACCCAAAAAATCCGTCATCCCCACCGCACATTTATCCTAAGACGATCATCCTGAATACCTTGATCCTCGCCGTTCGAAATTGCAAGGACGTTTTGGACCATACGATCTAGTTCTTGAATTAAGCGAAATTAGAAGTCGTGTGGCATGGTAGGCAGCGGCTTGACTGTGCTCCTGGTATTGCTGATGTCCACGAGCGATGGTAGCCACTTATAATCAGGTGGGCCGTAAGATCACGTGTGTTTGAAAGCAGTAAACATAGCTCATGTATATTTGTACCGTTTTTTTATACCTACCTATGCTGATAGCCTTGAGAGGCTATTTCAGTTTCGCCCTAACGTGTAGGTGAGCTCACGTGGCTCAAACTGGAGTGTTGCTAACACTGGCCCTAGCAAGAACAGTGCAAAATCTACCACCGTATGGGAAACGCGACCCACTGAGAAGATCCGGCGAGAAACTCAGTGGGCTGTGTCTGTGGGTTAATTCGCTCATCGAGCCCGTTGACACAAGCGACGGGTTCGACGAGGACAGTGATCGGGGGTTGTGAAATAAACGCCACAGTCAAAAAGTAATGTACATAATATGTAAATATAATTCTGATACATACCATGTGCCTAGAAGCAAGCTCAAAGAATCCATACAGAACAACCGCGTAATGAGTCACCAAGTACGCGTTACACCACGCTGGTAAATGCACGTCGTATTTTTCCCTATTTTCGACCTAAGGAAAAAAAATTAAAACATTTTGAAAAACAAAAAACAAAAAAGGTTTTTCTCTTCAATGTGTTCTGATTTTAACAATAGGGGTGTGAAAAGGACGCATAAAAATAAAACCAGTTATGCTAATTTAGTTCGTTTCGAATCTATTTCAGTCAAATTTTTTGTTGAACTTTCTTTCAGACCAAATGTAAGCAGAATATTTAATAGATACCAATAATACCGTTACGATTTCTCCTAACATGAGGCATGTCCATTAGTGGCGATTACGAATGTTGGGCGGTCTTATGTACTCAATGGCTTTATACAATTGTTGGAAATGAATAAAACAGTGTACGAAAATGGAGACAAGAAGTTTCTGTTAGTTATTATTATTAAATGTGATGGAGCTTAATCTGTTAAACTAACGATCGGTGCTTCAAAAGCTGCGGTAGAAAAACCTGAACCCGATGCTTTTTAAACGCTTTTTATTTTTCCCTTACAAAAATCAGGAGTGCCTGTTAATTGGAGAAAGTGAGGCCTCTTTAATTAAACAGTGCTTTTACTTTTACAGCGCTTTTAGTGCGTCCATAGTTACGAGCGATAATCGTGGTAACTGTCTCGGTTACTGTTACCCGGTTAATTAAAACCGGATGGTATTTTTTCGTGCTACGAAGTTTTTATCACAATACGAAAAGCTTTTACTAGTCTGATAGTTGCATGAGTTTTTGACTTGGTCAGGTTTATTTGATACTTATCGTGATTTATTGAATATGTAATATTAAACAGTATCTGGTATCCTCTTTGCTGCAGAAATAGAGAGGTGCATCGAGATATTATGTAATTAAATATCCACTTGTTTCAAAGTCGGTTCAGTAGTTAGGTTTAATCTAAATACTCACGTCAACTTTCATGTCCTCGTCTCCAAGTCTCGGTGAACCAGGTTCCCAACTCGGACCCCAGAAGATAGCCCTCATCTTGTCACCCCAGGATTCATAGCTGCGGAACTTCTCCAGCACGTAGCCATTGTAGAACGACTGGAAATAAAATACTTGTTTGAAACGGTAAGTTAGATAACGGTAAGTTAGATAACGGTAAGTCTACTGGTGGTAAGACCTCTTGTGAGTCCGCACGGGTGGGTACCACCACTCTGCCTATTTCTGCCGTGAAGTAGAAATGCGTTTCGGTTTGAAGGGTGGGGCAGCCGCTGTAACTATACTGAGACCTTAGAACTTATATCTCATGGTGGGTGGCGCATTTACGTTGTAGATGTCTATGGGCTCCAGCAACTACTTAACACCAGGTGGGTTGTGAGCTCTTCCATCCATCTAAGCAATAAATAAATAAAAAAGTTCAATAGATATGATTTTTTCTTTCATTAGATCTTCATCAATTTCTATCTATCATTTGATCATAATGTAAATTGTCACTATATATAGGTCTAATAAAAAATTATGAGTACTTTATAGTTAACTTAATACAGCTATGAATTTGCTAATTTATACTCAAACATAACTCATTAACGTATTTATCTCAACGTGCACAACAACTAGTTTGAATTCTAATCTATCTATATGACTCCACACTAATTAAACACATCACGAACTAATTACTGAAGTCCTCTGTAAATGTCAGTAATTCCAAGTTACAATATAATGTCTACATTATCTAGATTGAGAATCTACGGTACTACGACATTGACTGATTATTATGTAGATAGCGTGTAGTGTTTACACTTTCTAAGTTTATCTAGATTCATCTTAATGGAAATTTTAGTAATAAATCTTAATTTATTTATTATGTACTGGCGAATTGAATCTTTTTCGTAAAAAAAAAATACAGTTCGGATTGTTATAGCTGGTAGGTCGCATTGGAAGCCTTCACGGGAATTTCCACAGCAGTCTTGATTATCGGTCCGAATGAAGAATATCAGTATGATAAAATTGGAACTTTGACCTTATTTTCCAAGGTAGGTGGTCTTTTTTTTTATTGTCTTTGTAGGCAGACGAGCATACGGCCCACCTGGTGGTAAGTGGTCACCGTCGCTCATCGACGTCAGCAATGCCAGGGGCAGAGCCAAGCCGCTGCCTCCCATTAAGTGCTCTCCGCAAGCCACGTTTGAAGAAGGACATGTCACAGCGCTCGGAAAACACCGTGGAGGGGAGTTCATTCCAAAGCCGGATGGTACGTGGCAAAAAAGATCTTTGAAAACGCACTGTCAATGAATGCAGCGGTTCCAGATAATATGGATGAACTCTGCTCCGATGGCGGGAGGTGCGATGATAAAAAGGAGATGAGGGGATCAAAACATAAAAGTAAAAAAAACCTTGCTTATGGACGTTAGCAATTCCAGAGATGCACTGAATCTATTGCGATATCTATGTAGCGCATGCAACCTACCGTCAAATTTATTAAATTAACAATCAACATTATAAATTAATTAATTAATTTTACAATTACAGATGATTCGACGCCTAGTTAAGCTGCGGTTCAATATTAGCCCCCTGAGCATCTGCTGTGCTAAGTTTTAATAAATACATTTTTCAAAAGGACTGAAAGTAGATATGTATGTGTGGAGCGACTTTCCGCTGCCTTGTGTTTGGTTTGCGCCTTAAATATTTGATAAAACATTATGTTTGATTAATTACTTAAAGCTCAGAACAAGTTTTACTCAAAGCTCCGCAATGGTTGCCTTGGGTATACGGTGGCTTGATTTCCGGTTTCCGGAAGTTGCCCATTAATTTAAGTGGTTTTAATTTTGCTTTGTTGTTTGACCAACTTGATGTTATGTAGGAAACGAAACCAAATTTAGAACACACGCATGTTCAGCACTTACTTTTAGTTAGGCCTAAAGTTATGGTTACAAAACAAAGTTTTGTATTCTAGTTAATACAACTTATAAACCCAAAATGAGTAAATTTACATAGTAGAGAATTACTATAGATTTTGAATAAATAATACGAACGCACTTTAAATAAAAGCTCATCTCATGTAGGTTTTACTACTAAATGTAACCCAATTACCTTGTTGTTAATTTATGTTGCTACAATAAAAAAAAAAAAATATATTTTTTATTGCCCTTGTAGGCAGACGAGCATACGGCCCACCTGATGGTGAGTGGTTACCGTCGCGCATGGACTTCTGCAATGCCAGGGGCAAAGCCAAGCCGCTGCCTACCGTTTAATACTCTCCACAAGCCCCGTTTGAAGAAGGACATGTCATAGCGCTCGGGAAACACCGTGGAGGGGAGCCCATAGCCGGATGGTACGTGGCAAAAAGACCTCTGGAAACGCACTGTGGATGACCGCAGTGGCTCCAGGTAGTATGGATGAACTCTACTCCGGTGGCGGGCGGTGCGATGGTAAAAAAATGGTAATTTGCGTAATTGTAGTAACTATTGTAACATTAAATATTTAATTTGATTCGGTTTAGTACTTTTGTCATACTCGAAGGAATAAAAAAACAAATAGTTAAGAGTGTAGTACAAAATTATGACGATTTGAGGCGAGGTGAAATAAAATACACACTCTCAATCCTTTGTTTTGAGTATATTAATACACAAATTTGTTGTAGGTTTTTTTTCAGACAATTTAAATATTAAAAGAACCATTAACGGATTCTAATAAACGTCAAATTAAATTAATTCCTACTTTCACAATTTTCCGGTAGCTTTTTTCTCGGAAGTTTCCGGAATAATTAGGAAGTATATTAACGATGTCCACTCCATCAACGAGGAGAAGATGAATAGGGGACTTTGTATTTCCGCGAAATTATATCAGACTGAATTATTGGCTATGAAAATATGTCTTACTAAAGTAATTTGAGAGTTTTTGTTTTCAATTATATATTTACGAAGGCATTCAGAAGATTTAGAAGTAGAAGTAAATGTTTCCAATTTAAATTTTAATTATTTTTTAATAATTTAATTTATATTAATTTAATTTAATTTTATTAAATTTAATTTTAATTTTAGTTTTACTATCTAACTTTCAATTACTCAACTATTGCACTGTCGATTGCACCTATCATTAAGATGAGATCTGTCATGTACTTATTGTCAATTTGTAAGTGTTTTGTATTGATGATCACTTTGTTGGTGCAATTAAATCAATAAATTTTTTACTGGTGGTAGGACCACTTGTGAGTCCGCGCGGATAGGTACCACCGCCCTGCCTATTTCTGCCGGGAAGCAGTAATGCGTTTCGGTTTGAAGGGTGGGGCAGCCGCTGTAACTATACTGAGACTTTAGAACTTGTATCTCAAGGTGGGTGGCGCGTCTACGTTGTAGATGTCTATGAGCTCCAGTAACCACTTAACACCAGGTGGGCTGTGAGCTCGTTCACCTATCGCAATAAAAAGAAAAAGCAAAAAAAAAAATGTGTTTCATCTACATAACTGTCCAATCCAGAATTCATTACAGACTCAGAGCAAGTTCTAACATCACTAATTATTATATATATTAAATTAAAACTAACCAAACAATAAAATTTAAACGAATAGCTCTCGTGTTTAATTGTGATTCGAAGTGCGCCAATTTTAAACCACTCAAGCGTCACTTCTTGCATGATAAAGATGGCACTATGCCAAAAATATTTCTGTGAAGTGCCAAAAACAACTACAAATTTAAAGATCAATGTGTATCTAACACGGCGCGAGAACGCGTGAACAACAAAGCCCTAAACATTATTGCAGTATTTGTAAATAAAGCTGAACATTCGATTTTAGTACTACGGTAGACATTATTAGCTAGAACCAAATTACCAACAATTTTCTCTGAACTATATTTTTTGGAAAAAAATCGGTCAACTTGTTTGTCTAGTGATTAGTTGCCTATACCACCTGATTAGGGTTCGATAGTAGTCGGAATCAATTACTATTATTTATTATATAATATATTATTTATATATTTATATTGTACTAGCTGAACCGGCAGACTTCGTAGTGCCTCAATCGATAAATAAAAGACCTAAACTTTTATATAGAATAAACTTAAAACAAACAAAAGGAATCTGTCCGACGGGGGACACGTCAAAGGGAAAACAAAATTGTTATTTTTATTTAATTCCGAGAATTTTCATATTTTTATACCTTTTAAACCTTCTCTGGACTTCCACAAATAATTCAAGACCAAAATTAGCCAAATCGGTCAAGCCGTTTTCATGTTATGTCGTGACAACGGAAAACGGGTTCCATTTTTATATATATAGATAAATATAATAGAGAAATTAGATGCCAACATGAACACACACATCATGCAGAAACAAGCTGTCATACACACAGTCACCATCATCACGAAAGTCTTGGGAGATACGGTCTTTCGTAGGAGGGGAAACTGAGCCACCCTTTCGGGTCTCGGGGCGGGAGCTCAGTAAGCCGCGCCAAGAGCTCGAGTAGCGGAATGTTAATATGTTCTATAATATATTTATTATATAATTTAATCAATAACTATTACATAATATATATTATTATTATTATTTATTAGTTACTTGGCACTCAGAGTACGAAACATTTATGAATTTTTGTTTTCTATGTGTATTTCCAGTGCTCATACCAGAATATAGAATTCTAGCTTGGGAATGGTATAAAATTTATTTTTTATGATATTTTTTTTTTCCACCTTTTAAATTTTGGTTCTTGAGCACGGTATTGTTTAGTTAAATTTCTTACCTGTAAGTACAGAGGGTTGAATGAAGGTTGATTGTATATTAGTCCATATACGATCTCGATTTTGTCTGTTTCGGGTTTAAAGGTGCCGAAGAGTCTGTCCCAAACGATGAGGACTCCGCCGTAGTTTACATCTAAGCAGTACTTATTGCTGCCTATAACAAAAAAAATAATACACTTTAAAATTTCATACACTTAACCTAATCTGTAGAGGGAAAGATTTATGTGAATTTTTTACCGGCATCCCTAAGGAGTTCTGATTTTACTTGCTTACAATATCCAAAATATCGTAATATCGTTTGCAATTCTAAAAACCTTTTTAAATTGGGAACGAATAAGAAATTACATGAACATGAAGCCTTAAGCTGCATTATAAATATTTTTTTTCTTAAAAAATTCCATTGAAATTTTCCAATCTATTTAATTTTCAATTAGTCTTCGTAATGCGGCAATGATCTAAATTAAATGTTTTTAAAATTTGTATAACGGTATGGTTTGGTATTATACAAACAGTGGTACAGGGCATGTATAAAAAAGTACCAGAACAGTCTCTGGTTTTTTTATCACTTTGAGCCAATTAAATTCTTTTCATTAATTCATTTTTTTCCAGTCAAATTTTTTATAGCAATTAGAGATTTAATTTGTTTGCTAATATTATGTGGTTTCATTCAAAATACTTTTTTTTATACTTATTGTACACAAAAAGAAAATACTATAAAAACAGATTTAAATAATGTCCAAATACTTATGTACAAAGGCGAGCTTAACTCATTCAATCAAACCCGCAAAATTATAATTTGCGTAATCACTGGTGGTAGGACCTCTTGGGAGTCTACGGGTAGGTACCATCACCCTGCCTATTTCTGCCGTGAAGCAGTAATGCGTTTCGGTTTGAAGGGTGGGGTAGCCGTTGTAACTATACTGAGACCTTAGAACTTATATCTCAAGGTGGGTGGCGCATTAACGTTGTAGATGTCTATGAGCTCCAGTAACCACTTAACACCAGGTGGGCTGTGAGCTCGTCCACCCATCTAAGCAATAAAAAAAATTTCAAGAGTTTTCTTCCAGCAAACCATTAGCAGAGAGAAATACGATGTATAAGAGGAGAAAAGTGTACAATATAAAAGGTATTAAAGGTATTAAAGCCTGACTGTTAAACTAAGCTTTGAAAAAAATAAAGTAATAATAATCTCATATAAAATGAAAAATACATATAAATAAACATACATAAAATAATACTTCTTCTTTAATTCCTGCATCGTTCTTGAATTTATTGATATTAAAATGAATACAGTAGTGTCGATCGATTGTTATCCCGTTTTTATTTCAGGTCGCATTTATCAAAAGTCAGATAAGCAAATGAACTTCGACCCCTCGTAAGCTTAAAATTTTGGACGGCCGCTACGTATGTATATTATATTATATGTATATTAATGCAGATAATAAATCTAATGTCTCACAGTGGACATTCACGTGAGGTTCTGAAATTATCAGCGAGCCATACGATAATTTGCTAAACTTACTTAGGGGTAGACACTGGATATTATTCCTACTACCGCATAATAATGCAAAAATATACACGACCCTTCGTAGAGAATTTTATTCGGTGTTGCCAATGTGGCATTTACCGTTTTATTTTACTTTTTAGCAGTTATATCGTAATTCTTAATAATGTTGTCATATTTAACTATAGTATTTTAAACAAAAATGATATTTTTTCAAATGGAGAACATTTTTCAGAAATGAGAAACTCAATTTATTGCTCTAAGGTAATTGTCCCACTTAAAGTGTTTTTTCAGGACAGGAATGCTTTATCGTGATTGTATCTTTTCTATGGCAATTGTAGAATTATTCTTTTCCTACTTGCCTTAATCCCACTACGCTAAGTCGGTGCATCATGATCTCTTATTTTGATACATCATCACTCACTTTCTCTAGTATCCTCTTTTACACAGTCCAAGTCTTTCTAGAACGACAGCGCTAATTCACGAATACCCTTTACATACATATAAAATACCAGATTATGTGATTCATAACGATATTATAATGGCGGCTTTTGAAGATCGCTTTTGAGTAAAAATTGTCATCGAATTTTATGGCTTAACTCGTAGTGGTACGTACGATTTTTGTACACCGGATAATGGCATCGGATAACAGTGGGATCCGAGCTACGAAATTGATTTGATGTCATGCTTTTGCGGATTTGATTTCGTATTATTTTCGTATTCATTTTTGGGACTGTTTAAGCGGGTTAGTCAAGGTTGTCACGTTGCACATAATTTATTAGATTTTGTAGAGTTTTGGCTCTTAAAAAAGTTACGACAGCTAATTAATTAATTAATTTTAAGTGTTTCGAATCATTTTAATTTAACACTATTGCGGCAATAAATTTAATTACGATATTCACTATCTTTAAGCTACTAACTAGGTTAATATATTTTAGCGTGATTAAGTAAGTAACATTTTGGGATATCTTATTTTATCCTATCAATGAGGTCAATGGGACTTGGGATTTATATAGTAAAAGTCTGTAATTCATCAGATTAATGCTTGTGCTATGGTTTCTCTTTTGTTTTTAGACAGATGACGGCGAATATTCGCCAACGCTCATGGATGTCAGTAATACAAGAAGCCAAAAGGATATATGTAGGTCATATCATCGGTACTCAATTTAAGAGAAAGTAAGGTCATTCCATGCACTAAGTATGAACACATTAGGTAATATATTATTTCTTGACCTTTACAACTACACCAGGACAGGTGGGTGAGCTCGAAGGCTCGGCCACGAAAGCTATTTGATTAAAATGGACAATTGGAAGATTGTGTTGTGTTCAAGGAAAACTAAACGATTGAAACGTTGACCACATGCTCATGTGTCTATCTTAATATAAAACTATAGATAAACAACAACCAGCGATGGATAAAATCAAAACAAATATTAACTTTCTTTGACGAGTAATGTAAGCCAAGGAGCTGTCATGTCGTGAAGATATTCGTAGCGCGCTTTGTGAACTGGCGGCATGTTTAGCTGACTACATATTGTTTGACGAAAGCGGTATTTGTGTTCAGAATACGTAATATTACGATTTTTTTTTTTTTTTTTTATTTTTTTTTTTATTGCTTAGATGGGTGGACGAGCTCACAGCCCACATGTTGTTAAGTGGTTACTGGAGCCCATAGACATCTACAACGTAAATGCGCCACCCACCTTGAGATATAAGTTGTAAGGTCTCAGTACTTTATATTACTTATACTTTAGTAGTAATACTTTTTCCTGTGGTAGGACGCCTTTTGAGCCCGTTCGGGTAGGTACCATTGCGCTGCCTATTTTGTACGGTAATGCGTTTCGGGTTGAAAGGATTACTAAAAAGCTTTAATAAGCCGGTTTGTAATTTGATTAGCTGTTTAGATGATTTCCGTTACCGTCCAACCTATTTCTGACACATTACAATGAATCCTGCTCGTTTGAAGTGGGTATAGCCACGTATAGCATATAGCAACGGCCGTCTGGTGTAGTGGTAAGTGACATGGTCACTACACAAGGGGGTTGCGGGTTCGAATCCCGCCAAGGGAAGATATTTGTATGATAAATATAAATGTCTTTTCCAGGGTTATGGATGTATATTAAATATATGTATGTTTATAATAAAAATCTTACATTTATTTCCGTTATCTGGTACCTGTAACACAAGTTCTTTACGAACTTATCACGGGACCAGTTAACGTGGCGTGGTTGTTAGTAAAATATTTATTATTTATTTATTTATTTATTAAACCATGTATCTGAGACTTCTAACTCATGTTTCATGCTTAGATGAGCCCACTAAGTAAAGCGTGTTAATTCAGAAATTTAGACATCAGCAACCTAAAACGTTTTTTTTTTCTAGTCTAAAGGAATTCCATTCGAACTCAAAGACACAGTTCGTTACACACAATCACTTAAGCCCGAAATAAAAATCGAAGAAAGACTAGGGATTTCGCAAACCAAGTTACACTGTTTGTTAGAAATGGATATATCGCACTTTCTAGTCCTTTATATTTGGAAGCAGAGTATATTTTTGAATTGACAAAAGAGTATTTTTGTGGCTGACAGTTGTTTGGTTGATTTAGTATTTAATGAATCTGACTGCTCCACCACGGAGTCTGGCTTTGATATGGCCGGCCGGTAATGGTCAAAAAATTACATTATAAAAGGTTTTATCATGATGTTATATGGTCATGATTTTACGAATGAAACTAATTGAACTTAAACAATAGGACTTTTATTTACACAGTCTGTATCTTATCTAATGTTTTTGGCAATTGAGGTCTCGATGTAGTATTTGTTTTAGTCTCGCTTTGGTATGTTTCCACCACCCAATATGTAGGGAAAAATCCCAGCTTGGGAGGCAGTTGTCACTAACTTTAGTCAAAGCATTTGCCTTGCTTTAGGACTTTTTGTTTGTTTTACGAGCGATTGAATTACTGTTATACCACATGCTAGGGCCGTGTGGTGGTAGAGAGATGAGCCTACTAATCAACCTCACGTCACTTTTAAATCCAAGTGTCTAACATAAAACTCGATAAGGGAAATGGGAGTGATGGCTGATGCAAGCTTCGCTAGCTTCCTTCGCGAGATGCTAGCCCAGCAGTCGTTGGCTTAATAGCTGTCGGCGTTATCAGTTGGCGTATTGCACTAAATCCATCCCCCTTAAGAGATCCTCCCCTTTAGGGATACCCTATATATTGCCACCCTTATCCACGATTATCGGGATTGCCAGTACATTTTCGATTTAGATAATGAATTGTATCATTGAAAAGCAAAATTTTCTTTTTAAATTTGCAAAGTGGTGCGTGGTTTGATAAGAACATGATAACAAACAGTTAAACTCACCATGATGCACTCTATGATGACTTGGAGTGTTGAGGATATATTCTAGCGGACCAAGGCTCTTGATGGCTTCGGTGTGAATCCAGAACATGTAAAGGTAGCTGAACTGGTGGTGAACAACAAACTGTGCTGGTGGTATGGCAAATGCCAGAGGTAGGTAGAATATCTGAGGAAAGAAGAGAATTTCCATTATTCCGCGAAATGTCAATAATTCTTGCTTGAAATGCTTGGTATTTCTAAGTTTAACCCCACTTCTCTGTTAAGATTATTTTCATTGTCTCCAATACTTTCAGATGAAGATATTATGTTAAGCTCTCTAAAAGCAGTAAGGTCAGAACATAACACAATCAAACGCAAAATATATTTTCAGTCTTCTAACAACGGCTATGTTTGTTGAGGACTTGGATGTTGCTGATCCCAGTCTAGTCAATAATCAATAAAGTATCACTTGGGATAACTTGTCCGCATTGCAACTCTCGAATTTTACTAACAATTAAAAAAAAATTCAAATCCCTATGTTCAGTAATGCTTCAGTATAAATCTGTGTTCAATAGAAATTGAAAACGGAATTAAGAAATCGAATTGCCGTTAAATCAGCTTGTTCTATTCATTTTAAGCCGTAAGTATTTTATTATTGCTTTATTTGTTTATATAGATTTAAAATCTTGTCTGAAGCATAAGAAAGTGAATTGAAATATTGACAATCAAACGAAATATTAAAATATTATTTTTAGAGAAAGTTGAAATTTGAAGAGCGGATTTTAAACAATCAGAAAAGCTTACTACATAGACTTATTTTAGCGCGTAATTTTTTTTTAAATTCAATGTAGCTGCCGTTCAGAAAATTACAATAACAATACCACTAGTTTAAAGTTCAACACTTTAGTGTTTTTCATTTTAATTTCCTGACTTGAATATTCTGTAAGCGAAATTATCAAAATGAGTCCAATACAACTAATAACCTTGAGTTGCCGAATACTTTTCATCTTCTAGTTTTTAGAGAGGCGGATTTAAAATTAATTTGAAAAGCTAAACAACTACAGAATTTGTGGAAATCTAAAAATAATATTTTTAAAACATATTTCTGATTTCATCATATACGATTCATAAAATAAATATCGTATTACTTTAACAATGTAAAATAAATATTCTACATTTACTTTATATAGTTTTCGGCGTATCATAATATTACGTTTTCTGGTAATATCGTCCATGTTATCATAGCATTAGAATACAAAATTAAAACAACATTTGTTTATCTGTTCCCCACAATGTTTACACGAACTGCTGTTTCAATATTTTCTTATAAAACAGGAATCTCTATTATTATGCTGGTTTGCTCAATCGACATTTACAACGTAAATTCTGTGGACGTCTGATTCTGTGAATTATTTTGTATTGAATTTAAATTATTCAGATACTATTATATAAATCGATTTTGTCTGGGTACCACTATTATATTTCTAGCCAGAATTAGTCTAAAGGATAAGAGAATCGTATTAAAATACTATTAACACACTCGTCTTATAGGTATAGTGAGAAAAGATTTTCCTTCGTAATTTTTCGGAAAAGTTCGTCTTTATCGTGCTCTCTCAACTAGCTTTAGTACAATGACATTATTCATTTTGACATTTGACACTAAACAATAAAGTTCCAAATTAATGGATATGAAAATGTCTCTCATTTAATACGATCATTCATTGACAGTTCGGGTGTCATCGTATTCCAAAAGATCCGAGTTTCTCCGAATGAAAATAGTTTCTCACTACATCTATACGTCTCAAAATGAGTTTATTTATTTTATACCTTGTGCTTAGGCATAGGAATCACAATGAGAATGCCATCACCCTCAGACGTGTATTGATGACATGATCTAAGTGGATATAATAATGACGGTTCCACCTTTGGAGCCGAATAAGCATTTGTGACATTTAAATTTAGAAATGAAAGTGTTATGTTGAATTTTTTATGGTTCGTTCGGGGATGTATATAAGGAACAAAATAAGGCGGGTTCCTTGCGTGTATCAACTACGTCCGTAATATATTCAGTGTCACGCACTGCAGGCAGTTAATACGTTCAGAAAACAGTGAAAGTATACGTGAAATTGGAACTTGACGTTCTTTAGATAACAATCATAATTGCTTGCTGGCACTTCGGTGTTTATTGACGTATTAAATTGATAACGTGCGAATCTAAATATAATAATATTAAATTTGTACTTTGTATGATTTAAATATGAAAAATGGTTTGGATTAGGACACGTTGTAAGGTCAAATCGATTGGTACCACAATCCTGAGAAGAAACTTAAATCACTAAGGTGGGGTCATTATCTTATGGTAATAAAATTTGCATGGATTGGTGGACGAACTCACAGACCACCTGGTGTGAAGTGGTTAAAGGAGCCCATAAACATCTACAACGTAAATGCCGCCGCCCACCTTGAGAAATGATTTCTAAGGTCTCAGTATAGTTACAACGGCTGCTCCACCCCTCAAACCGAGACGCATTACTGCTTCACGGCATAAATGGGCAGGGTGGTTGTACCTACCTGTGCGGAATCACAGGACGAGCTGCCACCAGTAATTACGCAAATTATAATTTTGTGGGTTTCATTTTTATTACACGATGTTATTCCTTCACCGTGGAAGTCAATCGTGAACATTTGTTAAGTACCTATTTCATTAGAAAGATTGCTACCCGCCTGAGATTCGAACACCGGTGCATCGCTCAACACGAATGCACCGGACGCCTTATCCGTTAGGCCACAACGACTTTTTTGAGTACACTGGTGGAGTTTTGAGAACTACTACTGTTAATACTTTTCTACTATTAAAACCTCAAGCCATCTGAACGGTTGGGATCATCAGCCGTACGTTTCAATATTTTTCCTACATACTATTCTGCTCTGGGATCCTTCATGCGTTGTGTTTCTCAGTGCTGAGGGCCATGATCTTTACAGAGCACTTTTGTTAGGACTATGTTCCTCAATTCCTTCCTGTCCTCCGCGCAGTGGATAGCGACATTAATGCTGAAGTCCAAAGTCGTGTTAATCTGATCGGATCAGGACGTGGAACTACGCCCCCTAAACCTCTTTTCTTCCACTTTGCCGGTAATATCTATACTAATATATAAATCTACAGTGGTTTTTATGGATGCTCCGTTATAACTACTGAACCATGAGTCCGATTGACTTAAAACTTGGTTGGTATCCATGTAGAAAATACATGTACTCAATGGATAGGCTAATATTTATATGAGTGTTGGACTCCCTACATCAGTTGCGGGGGCATTAGTGATGAGAATTTTTGTGGGTGTGAGAAATAATAATGTTAATTTTAAATGCCCAGCGAAGCGGACGGGTGTCAGCTAGTCTTTCTATAAATATGATTTGAATAGAGTCCCGAACGCAAGGGACATCGCTGATACTGGCGATGACAGTAGTGCACTTACTGATAATTTTTGGTTATAACCGCTATATTAGTCTTTAGACAGAAATAAATGGTTGGTTCACGTCAGAAAAGAGCAGGACGATAGCCCAAGTATATATCATTTTTTTTTGTTACCCTTGTATGCAGACGACCATACGGCCCACCCGATGGTGAGTGGTCACCGTCGTCCATTCACTTCAGCAATGCCAGGGGCAGAGCGAAGCCACTGCCTACCGTTAAGTACTCTCCGCAAGCCTCGTTTGAAGAAAGACGTGTCATAGCGCTCGGGAAACACCATGGAGGGGAACTCATTTTATAGCCGGATGGTACGTGGCAATACCACTTAATAATATAATAATACCACCAACAATACCGCTTTTTGATTTTAAGCTGGGAAATTGTGATATTTAATAACTTACAAATCCGCACCAGCCTTGAAGAACGGATTGACGTATTCCGACGCCCATGTTGAAGTCTTCTGACGTGTGGTGTACTTGATGTTGCGCCCATAGTATATGGACCTCTGCGATAAAAGTATCGTTTTGAGTATGCTTTACGTAGATTCTTTTTTTAACTTATTTTTTGATCATAAAGAACAAAGCCTGGTTGTTCCTCAATGTACATTACCAACTAACATAACAAGCACTATCATATTATAACTTAATTGGTACATCCGTAATATAAGCCTGCCAAGTTATCTCATAGTTGTCTATAGCGTATAATGTCTAAGTATTTTTAAAGAGCATTAACTTCAAGTTGATATTACGAAAAAAACATGAAGAAAATATTATTCTTGTGTAAATATGAATCGATATATGCAGTATAGTCTCCCTAAGTAGATTTACTAATTTAAGTCTTATGATTACGGCAGCGTTTTATTATTATTTTTTTAATTGCTTATAAGGGTGGACGAGCTCACAGCCCATCTAGTGTTAAGCGGTTACTGGAGCCCATATACATCTACAACGTAAATGTGCCAACCACCTTGAGATATAAGTTGTAAGGTCTCAGTATAGTTACAACGGCTGCCCCACCCTTCAAACCGAAACGCATTACTGCTTCACGCCAGAAATAGGCAGGGTGGTGGTACCTACCCGTGCGGACTCACAAGAGGTCCTACCACCAGTAATTGTTACGCGACTGTCAGAATATTATATGTAATGGCTAAATCAAAATGCAAAATGGATACGTTTGCTACCGAATTCATTTTATTAGGACGAACAATACAGTCGGGGAATTACATTAGAAGATGTTCATACCATGGCAGGCCCTGTGCATCCAGTAATAGCAGAAGTCGACGCCAAGAGCTGCCGCATACCAGGTCAGCGTGCTGTCCCAGGGCAGCTCCACTAATCTGTAGTTGGTGTAGATCCACGTGTACAAGTACGACTCAGCACCACGCCAAATAATTCTAAAACAAACGAACTAAGTTCAGTTTTTCAACTGTTAGCAAAAAATAGCAATAATAAAACTAAATAGCCCACTGTATCTCCAACTTTATAGTATGATAACGGTATATAAGCTGTTGCTAATCTAATACACATATTGCCCACTGAGTTTCTCGCCGGATCTTCTCAGTGGGTTGCATTTCCGATCCGGTGGTAGATTCTGCGAAACACTGCTCTTCCTAGGGTCAGTGTTAGCATCACTCCGGTTTGAGCCCCGTTCTCTCACCTAATAGCTAAGGTTGTGCTAAAATGGCCTCTCAAGGCTTAGGTAAGGAAAAAAAAGAAAAATGAAATACACATAATATAGTTTGTCGACGAATCTTTATTGGTTTATCTTCATGTTCCAAAGCCTACTAGTTTTGCATTTTTTATTTATAGTACGGTCTTTGGGTCAATATTTTTTGTTGGTTTTTTTATTCGAAAGTAGCAAGCAAACGGCTTCGTCATTTTTTCATCATAGTGTTGTGAAAATGAATAGCGTTGTTCTACTTTAGTAGCATATTTTGTAGATATGTAGTTGGGATAAGATAGCGAAACGGAAGTAGGTCAGTAATTTTAGAATTACAAACAATTGTACTATTTTTAAATGGGTTCACGGAATGAGACTAACCTTCCGCATTCTTGGAAGATTCCGTGCGATATACTTGTGATTCCGTCGTTAAGTCTGACGCCTGGCTTCCCTTCCAGCCTCAGGACGATGTGCTCCAGGATCATGAAGATGAAGAAATACGGCCATGACTGTAATAAAAGAAAGGTGTTTAGTTTTGTGGAATAGATCTTGTGGCCTGTCTGATGTGAATTACTTATTTTATGGAGTGAGGACTAATGGCCTGGGCTTTTAGGACTGAGGTTTGTTTTTTTTATTGCCCTTGTAGGCAGACGAGCATACGGCCCACCTGATGGTGAGTGATTACCGTCGCCCAGGGACTTCAGCAATGCCAGGGGCAGAGCCAAGCCGCCACCTACCAAGGTTGAGGTTGAAGTATCGGTTACATTACGCGGCTATCACACTTCAAACAACAAATTATTTATAGTGACAGGGGATGTTACACATCACAAGATATGACGAGATTATTTTATTTGTTTTTGCCGCTAATGATATGTACTGTTCTGGCTTCAACAATTATCTTCAGACGGTTTGTGTTCTCTGATGTTGTCCAAATATGTACAGAAAATAAATTTGATAATCAATACCACAGATACATTCATTTATTTCTTGTTAAATTCGTAAAGCTTGTACTGTTTTGATTGAAATCGGGTTAAGAAATATACACCCCAATATTGTAGGTGTCGATAAACTTCACCGCGCTAATGTGGTTAAATTGCGAAATGTAATGTAATTAGAATCCAAATTTGATTTCGTAACATTGGTTTGTTGCATTGCTAATATCATTATATTTATTTCAATTCTGTTTGATTAGAAGATCGATAGGTGAATGCTTTCGATAAATATACTCGTAATTATGACATTTTGCTCGGCAAAGTTACCAAATAAAATTTTATTACATACAAGGTACAATTTCAAAATAACAATTATCTATTTTTGAATCTAGAAAACGTTGGACTTCAAGAGCGTCGTCCATTTTTTTAGACTCTTTATGAAATTAAAATTGGAACAATGGCTGGACGATGGACCTTAAAAATTTACGACCCTCTATCGATTAGCCAAGTTAGAATATCATAGAATATCATAGCCTATATATTAGAATTGACAGAATTTGTGTCGTTGATTTGGCGATTAGGATACCTGAACCTTTTTTTTTTTTTTCCTACCTAAGCTGGTAGCATGGAGCGGCTATTCCAGCGTAACCGTAACTAGTAGGTGAGCTCACGGCGCTCAAACCTGACGACGATGCTAACACGAACCCTAGCAAGAGTCGTGCTTCAAGGAATCTACCACCGGATCGGAAACGCGACCCACTGAGAAGATCCGGCGAGAAACTCAGTGGGCTGGGACCTGAACCATTCAAGCTTTCTCGGATTGAAATTTTGTATTCGTAGCCTTTGTTGAATTAATTAATTATTTCCCTGCCTTCGAAAGTGGGAGGGCGAAGAATTCGCAAATGAAAGTTTTCCGTGGATAAATTTGACTATTTCATTAATTAAATTTCGCTCAATGACGGCTTTTAACCTGAATTAACACAGGACACTTTTATTAAGGCAAGTGATGTGAAAAGGAAAACGCTGGGTACATCTGGTATTAAAAATACCAGTTATTGGTTGGTTAGGATATAACACGTACAAACTGTATTATGCGCATACAAATCTCCTACTATACTTACACTACTATACATTTCCTTACTTCCTCACTTACACTTCCGGTTATACTTTGCAGTAGTTAATGAAGAACTAGTCTTATAATTGAGTCGACTATTATCAAAGCCGGCAATGTGACTTTTCGACAATTATTGGTAAATCATAAAAACGAATTATTGACTTTGTATTCTATTGGCAGTCACAAAACTCTTCTGAACGACATCTTAGATAAATAACAGGCTAAGTTAATACTTTATTTAATGCAGGTTTTGAACCGTATTCTTTGAAGGAGACGATTATATTCAAATCAATCTGTATGGCCATATCAATAACATTTGTTTGTCCAAATGCACAGATTGCCACCTTTGATAATAGACGACTCAATATAAAATACCGTGCGACTATTTAGCTATCTTTAACCGATACTGATCTCTCAATACAAAAGTAAAACATCCTATTATATTTTAGTACTAGTATTTTTAATACGTATGTAACCTGTTACCGTATCAAATCTTGGATCACTGGTTCGTCACTTCTCTAATGTGTTAGGTTTTATGTTTCGTGTCTCAATTGGTGAGTATCTGATTACGTATTCAGAACGTTGATCGATTAATAATGCTAGTCGATCTAAAATCAACCGTATTAAAGAGTGACAGAATTGTATTTAAATAATAAGAAGAGCTGTTTGCGTAAGATTGTGTTTTTAAAATATTAATTGGTGTACTGTTTTAGGATTAATTATTATCAAACGATCACCACAATTAATAATTGAGTTATTAACTATTTTTTTCATTAAACCTCATATAATCGTGTCTTTGCTTGATTAAAATTTCGTAAAATAATTAATAATTACTAAAGTTAATTAAAATATACAAATATTTTAGTACCTATTTTATATATATAGATTAACTGAACTGATCTGAGATATCTGAATTTGAATTGTTGGTTTGGTTATATAGAATTTTGTTTTAATTTGGAATCGTATGAAATAAACACTGAATCCGCAATCGATTTAATATTGGAAATTAAATGTTGTTTATCAGAATCAATTATTGTTCTATTCTTAAACAATAAGGTTAAATATATTGTTTTCATACGGTTTAATATAACATGTTCTTAAATCAAATGTGTCATTCTAAATTAACCGGCAGAGAGGAGACAAGCACTCTTATCATTTTTGATTCATTAATTTCGGTTCAATAAACACTTCATTAATTCACGCAGGGTAGCCACGAAGTTAGCTTAAAGGGTCTATGAATGATCACAGTGTAATATAAGATCAGTTGTATAGGACGCGATAATATACTATAGATATAAAATACGTGTATTTGACCTTGAATTTTTTGAACATTTTTTTTCCTACCTATGCTGATAGCCTTGAGAGGCTATTTCAGCTTCGCCCTAACGTGTAGGTGAGCTCTCGGAGCACAATCCGGAGTGTTGCTAACGCTGGCGCTAGCAAGAGCAGTGCTTCGCAGAATCTACCACCGGATCGGAAACGCGACCCACTGAGAAGATACGGCAAGAAACTGAGTAGGCTGTTATTTGAACTATAAGTATGTTCATGACATCTCTATCATTGTATTTTAGCTTTTTTATGGCGCAAGTGAGTGAATAAGCTCACTGCCTACCTGGTGTTAATCGTTACTAGGGTCCATGAACATCACATTTGCAAGGCCACCTTAAAAAATATTTTTACTTCTCCGTGAATTTTACTGTCAACATCATTATCTATTTATCAAAGTTCAAGCAAACTTTTGATTAGAAAAAAAAACTATATGGCAACAATTACAATTGTTCAGTAATAATATAATACAGTAAAAAAAGCTTTACATAATCATGATAAAATTAAAAAATACAATCTCAAAGGTCAACCTGTAATCGCAACTTGGTGAAACATTAAAAATATTCGATCTAATATTCGGGTTTTTCACGCATTTTTAGGTTGAATAAAAATGGTGAGCTTACATTTTTCATGTAATCGATTACAAAATATACTAGCGTTTTGATTATTTTAATATTTTAGTTCTAGTTACTATAAATTCTTTTTAATATGTAAATATTTTAGCAATTACATATGTATATATATTATTATTATGTTCCTGCCCTTTATTTATTCTTTATTGCTTACGTGGGTGGACGAGCTCACAGCCTACCTGGTGTTAAGTGGTTACGGGAGCCCATAGACATCTACGTCATCACGACGTTAATGCGCCACCCACCTTGAGATATAAGTTCTAAGGTCTCAAGTCTGGTTACAACGGCTGCCCCACCCTTCAAACCGAAACGCATTGCTGCTTTACGGCAGAAATAGGCGGGGTGGTGGTACCTACCCGTGCAGACTCACAAGAAGTCCTACCACCAGTAATTATGCAAATTATAATTTTGCGGGTTTGATTTTTATTACACGATGTTATTCCTTACCAATTATTACTTTTTCTATTCTAATAAATAAAATTATGAAAAACATATGTGAATAATCATGGCAACCAGTAGATGTTTTGAGCAGTTTCTGACGAATCCTATACGAGAACAATACGATTCTGCTGTCATCTAGATACAAAAAAGTTGGGTAAAAATTTATTTTAACATAAAAGTTATTATTTTTAATTATTGTAATTTTATTTTGTGTTGCAAATAAAAGAATTCCGTAATGTCTTGGCAAACAGTTCGTAGGCATTTCACACGTGTACAAACAAAACCAACTTTATTGACTCCGAATGTTCGGTTTAGATCTTGATTCATTTATTTATTTTATTGTATTGCTTAGACTGGTGAAGGAGCTCACGGCCCACCGGTTGTCAAGTGGCTACCGGAGCTCATAGACGTCAACAACTTAAGTGCCGCCACCCACTTTGAGACAAAGTTCTAAGTCTCAATTCTATAGTACAACGGCTACAGCACCCTTCAAACCGAAACGCATTACTGCTTCACGGCAGAAATAGGCAGGATAGTGGTACCGACCGGTGCGGACTCACAAGACGTCCTACCACCAGATGCAATTGCTTCTTCAGTTCTAAGCAGCCTGCTTATATCTTGTGAGGATGATAGTAGTAGATTTTTAGACATTAGCAGGTTCAGATATAGCATAGGTACTTGATTATATTGGTCTACAAAAGAATACGAAAAAAAACATGTGATCCCAGTTTGTTGCAGACTAAGTCCTAAGTGTCTATATGTTTATTTCTCTTTAGTATCCCTTTAGTGTATATTTCGATTCATCGATTTTGAAATTAAAACAGTGCTAAATAAGTCTTCACTTAAAAAAAAGGCTTAATCTTTTGTTCCTTTTTGACTTTACTCCGCATAAACCTTGGATACCATTTTATTTCTAATTAATGACATTGCGACAGTGAACTGTGTTGTAACCCCAATATATGCGATTGCATATAAATAGATACGGCTATTAACATATTAGAATGCCAAGGCTAATACTTTAGGTTCTTATTTCGAAACGTTTTTTTACAAGTTTGATATTATTTTTAGCTTTAATTGCATGAGATTATATTTTACGGTTTATTATCGGAATCTTTGGTATGGACACGTGATGAGACGAAATGACAATGAGGTTGGTAAGAAAGTTTTAACTATGAATATGGAAGGCTTTAGAGGAAGAGGTTAAGAAAAAATGGATGGATTGTGTGGAAGATGATATGTCTAAGGCACTTCCCGTGAGCGAAGAAATGGTATATGATAGAGGAGAATGGAAGGAGAAAACATGTTGCGCCGACCCCAGATGACTGGGAGAAGGGCAGGAAAATGATGATGATCGGCATATTTGAAGTTCGAATCTTTAACTGCTTAATGCTTTCGATGGTAATGTCAACGTCATTATGCATAGGGTACAAACTGATGCTGCCATGAGGATTATTTTCTAATCCCGTATAAATTTAAAATTCAATACATATTATACGCGAGATTATGTACGCGATGTACTATGCTTGCTTAATCAAAAAATTATTTAAATTGCCAGATCGGATGGAATTGCACAAATACCAATTCAGTTATAAATTAATTAGAATAGAATAGAATACAAATAAAATATAATTTTATAAAGTTTCATGTTCTTAATTTTAAAACACAAAGTGCATTAAGCTTTCATGTCATTTAAAATTTCTCGTCATAACAATATTCCAAGCAAAAATTAAAATAAACAAATCAAATTAGTATATCAAATTAGTATTAGTTATGTTAGAAACTCTTAAGTCGGTCCTTAAAAAAAAAAAAACATTTAACATCACAAAACACAAAATGAGGACACAAATAATCATGCGATTTTTAACTTTAAATCAAGGCTAGTGAGCGAGTATGAATCTAATTTCGAATCACAATAATCCGCGCGTTTTTTTTCTTTCAAATTAAAAAAACAATGTTATTACTATTATTTACCTGCTTGAAAAAGTTCGGCACATCATCTTTCTTCTCAAACATAGAGTCTTGAGGGGAATTTATGTAGAAAAGTCTTCCAACTCCCTTCAGATGATCCGTAACGAAATCCGAGAAACCGTTCTCGACACTCGCATTGGCGAACGAGAATTCCGCCATTTTGTTCTAAGTTATCTGCAAACAAAATGGACGCCGTTATTTAAAAAAAGAAAATAGATACATATAATCGGAGGCAATTTTTTTTTTAACGCGTAAATGGAGGCACGAGCACGCTATTCACCTTTTCTTGGGTGGTTATCGGAGACCATAGACATCAACAACAGGTAATAAGCTGCCCTGTCTACAGTAAAACAATAGGCCACTGAACCCTAAAACTTGGTGTTTAATCAAAGCTTTAAAAAAATCTGTGTTTTGTTGATAATCTTTTTCGTCATGCGAAATTACAAAAACTAAAAATAAGTTCGAATAAACAATGACATAAAAAAAATATCTGAATAGTCATCGTGACTGGGAGGTATTTTCATTGAATGGGCAGAGCTTTATGGGTTATGTGGTAAAATGCAGCTACTAAAGCCCAAGAATATCGCAATCTGAATACCACTGCTCACCTCGAGACGTAACACTGGAATATTTGCATTCGTTTAATCCTACGGGCAAGGAAAAGTCGAGGGCAAAAGATCTCGCGGACGATTTCCAGCACGATGGACCGACCTCATAAAATCTGTGACTCGCTCCAACATAAATGATTGCTCTAACTCTGCGAAACACCATGCCACATGGCGTCGCATCGCGAGAGCATCGGTATCGCAGGATCCGACTGATGCATGACCACGACCACTCTGTCAAGAGTGTACGAATAGGAAGAGAATCCTACGGGCTCAAAAATGGAAAAGTTAATATCAGCAGGCACTCCATTGGAAAGGAATTTAACCTAACAGCATTACCAACGTATGATACCAACGCAACATGACCTAACCAAACATGTATGGAATAAAACAAAAGATTCTGTCACTAAACAAAGTTTTATCACAGAAAACGAGTTCATCTATCACCGTTAGAGGTCACTTATCGCATCCTGTGTTTCTAATTTTTAACTAATTAAATGAATATATATTTTTTGTTTCTATAATAAATGATATGGAAGAGTCCAATCGGTTACATGATTGGAAAATAAATATCATTTTAATTAAAAGTTATTTATAAAGCATATAAAATTTATTGACACGCCTAAATCGGTTTGATTGTGGAAAATTGTGATTTTAACATGACCAATGCAGGGTACGCACGGCTCGTCTTGTGTTAAGCGCTTACCAGAGTCCATAGACATGTGATGTTAATGAACTATGCTGAATGACTTTCCTACCCCCTTAAAACTGGAATTCACTGTCTTGCAGCATTAAAACGCAACACGCAGCGTATCTGTACATACAGCTCACTGACTTTCTCGCCGGGTCTTCTCAATGGGTCGCGTTTTCAATCCGGTGGTAGAGTTTGTAAAGCAGGTAGTAGCCAGTGGTAGAGTTTGCACGGACTGCTCTTGCAAGTCCTAGCAGCTCGTCAAATCAAAGCCCTGTAAGCTCACCTACTCGCTCGCAGAAGCTGACATAGCCCCTCGAAGCTACCAACATAGGTAGGAAAAAATATATCTATAAGGCGTTCATTCTATAAGGTTAATTTGAAAGCTGGTGCTTCTTAAGTGGTCAAGTTTTATCAAGATATCTAGACATAGCAAGAGTAACTTTTGGGTTATCCTTAATAAACTATACTTAACTGATTGACTACATTGAAGATGTTCTAATTTTATTTTATTGAAGTCTGTTTTGGTTTTCGCTAAAGATACACCTACATATTGTTATTATATTATAATAACGTATAACTTATCGTAATAATTACGGAACATGTAAATCTTGTGTAACATTACGATGATAACATTGCACTTGACCCAATAATCGAATCCAGCACATTGGCTTTAAATTTGTACGCGTGCATTCAGTGAGATAAACGACTCATAGATGTAATAACTTTAATATTAATTTTAGAGTAAAATAATAGAGACTTTCTTGTGTTAGATAATATTTGACCGGAAGAAACGCACGTATGGCAGCCCTAGCAAATATTTATGATTTAAGCTAGGATATCGTTTACCGAAGTCGTCGTGGCCTAAAGGATAAGACGCCCGCCCGGTGCATTCATACGTAGCGATGTAACAGTGTTCGAATCTTGCAGGCAGGTAACAATTTTTCTTCATGGTACGATTGAGTTCAACGTTGAAGTCAATCGTTAACAATTGTTAAGTACGTATTTCATTAGGGATGTTAGTACCCGCCTGCGGGATTCAAACACCGGTGCATTGTTTGACACGAATGCATCAGGCGTCTTATCTTTTAGGCCACGACGACTCTCAAGGTGGGTGACGGCATTCACGTTGTAGATGTCTATGGGCGCAAATTGCCAATTGCAACCACTTAGTATCGGGTGGGCCGTGAACTCGTCCACCCAATGAAGTAAAAAAAATCGTGTTTGATTATTAATAGTATATTAAAGATATGCTGCCCATCTTAGCATATTCCATTTATTTGTATTGCTCCAAAGAACAAATATCATATGGCTTGTTAAGCCAATCATTAAGCCAGCTGTTATCATGAGCGTCAGATTGCAACACGTGTTTCAGTTTCCGCCACAAATTAACTACAGAATGCTGATTAAAGAGATATATTAAAGGAAGGATTACTGTTGGCCCTGAGGCCTTTCCAGTGTCACCAGGACGAGCACGGGCTCAGTCAAGGAGGGATGGGACTTGCTAACAGCTGCCCGAGGGCCTCCAGAGGTGACCTAACAACTTAAAGGCAGCTGCTTCGCGAATGCATCTACTACCGGATCGGAATCGCAACTCGCCGAAAAGATCCGGCGAGAAACTCAGCGGTCTGATGTATGAGTTAAGTTTCACGTGGAACTCTGATATTTCATTAAAATAATTAGGGATATATATTATTATAATAGCGTATGTATTATGGAGATATTATACTGCTGCTTTAGATTATCAATTTTCGCGCCGTTTCTTTTGAATATTAATCCAACAGACTATCGAAAATAAAATAAAAAAGAGCCTGTTATTTTTGGAAGCATGAAGTCACCGGCTATAATAAATACAACCGTTGTATTCGATTTAGTGCTTCAAAGTATCAATTTATATTATTCGATATGTTATTTTTAATTTGACATTTTAATAAACAAAAACCAGTCAATAAACTATTCCGTTTTCGAAATGTTGCTTGTTTTCTAAATTTAAATTTTATTATTCGACGTTTTTTTTTCTTTTTCTTAAGGTCGTTTGTCAAACCAGTTTCATAAATTTCATCAGTGCTTTTTTTTTAATTTTTATTTGGCTAAAATAGGTATTACCTAATGCCGAGACGGTCGACGTTCCACAGCCTTCGTTTCGCTATAAAGGTTATGTTGGCCGGGCGTCCTTGAGGAGAGCCATGCGTCTGACCGCCCGTCTGACCCCGGAGGATCGGACGCTTGGGCGAGAGTGTAGGGGGGTCGTTTAGAGGTTATGGCCCTAAATACTCCCGACATCTGCGGACCATCCGCTCCCATATACCCCGTGCGCCCCCTAGGCGAGGGCACGTCGTGGGACCTTCGACCTCTGACCCCAAAATAAAAGGTATGACCTCATAAACCACTAAACTTCAATAAGCTCATAATGTGAGTCGCCCTGTCCGCGATATGAGGTACTTTAATTAGGAGACATCAAACACACCTTCGAAGCATATATCATCGATATGTTCGCTGTCAGCATATTTGATCAAGGTTTTTTATTCAATTTTTTTTCTTGTAATTACTTATTGATTGAGATTGAAGATTGGACTCAATAAATCGCCAGCATTCCGCGATCCTCAACTGAGTTTTACTGGGGAGGTAAGATATTTTGTGATTACACATGTAAGTTTTTTTCTTCATTAACTTTTTTTTATTGCGTGGGTGGACGAGCTCACGGCCCACCTGGTATTAAGTGGTTACCGGAGCCCAAACACATCTACAACATAAATGCCCCCACCCGCCTTGAGTTATATATAAAGCTAAATGAGATGAAATTTAATTCGGGACTTTAATCGGTATGAAGTTAAATGAAACGAGATGAAATAGGACGAAATAAAAGCCTTAGTAAATAAAATGCTTATTTACTGCGAGTTTTTCAGTGGACTTTTTAGAAGAACCCGAGAAGCTACGCGCAGTGGATTTGTTTCATTTTCCCACATTTGTGCACTTTCTAAGCAGTTACCTAATGGACCACTGTTATTACTTACTAGCTTTTGCCCGCGACTCCGTCCGCGTGGAATAGTTACTTTGGCATAACGCTAAATTTTACCCCTCACTTCATTTACGTAGAAAGTGAAAATATTATTGAATTATAGAATCTTAAGGAGCTATTTAATTAAAAACCCCTATTTTCGAACATTCTTTATTGGTGCTCCACTTGTATTGGCCTTACCGTGATGTTATAGCCTTATAGCCTTCCTCAATAAATGGGTTACTAACTAACACTGAAAGAATTTTTCAAATCGGACCAGTAGTTCCTGTGATTAGCGCGTTCAAACGAACAAACTCTTCAGCTTTATAATATTAGTATAGATTACAGCTTGAAGATACACTAAATTAACAAACAAAAGAATTCACACAGTTTCGCTCCACGCGTTGGGAAAGGCCTAGCGCACATTCAAAGGACCTGAATCTAGGTAATAGGCAGCAAGCTTCACTCAAACCTTGTATAGAAAACATCGGAAATGAATCAAAGACCCCTTTGGTACATCTGTTCCGATTATTAAGATATTCGTTAATAGGAAAAGTTGTCGAAATATTCAAACGGCTTATTTCTCGTTAAATACAGAGTTGAGTAATAATGAATACATCTATTTCTTGTTTTCTCAAAATCACCACATTGGTATAATGTATTTTAACCGTAATTTCGAAGGGCGAAGACCGTTACAAAGGATTTCGAAGCGGAATAAAGTCCTATGATGACCAATTGAAACATCAGAAATTTAGAAATTTGCGTAATTACTGATGCCAGTGCGTACTGGAAGCCGGGACTCGTGGTTACTACGAACCCGACTATTTCTATAGCCAAACAGTCATGAGTTCCGCTTCTTGGTTTTTACCTCATGTCTCAAGAGTTTGAGACGAGGACCGGCCGTAATTATGGGCTATCAAGGAGGGCAGTTGATAACCACAATTAGTTCAGGAAATATCACAGTTATTTTTTTTTGGTACTGTCGTCCACGGACTTCAGTTGAATAGCGATTTTTTTTATTCCTACCTATGCTGATAGACTTGAGAAGCTATATCAGCGTTACTCTAGCGTGTAGGTGAGCTCTCAAACCGGAGGTGCTGCTATCACTGGCCCTAGCAAGAGCAGTGCTTCGCGGAACCTACCACCGGATCGGAAACGCGACCCACTGAGAAGATCCAGCAAGAAACAGCGGGCTGTGTCTGTGGCTTATGCTTTTTCAATATGTTTTTGCTTTTTATAGCATGCTTTATAACAATGCTACCTACATAAGAAGAACGGACACTAGCCAAGGCACAGATTCGTTTTATTTACTTCCTACAACATACGTAAATTAACAGATCGTACCCCTGTAAAACTGAGGTCAGCGCGCTTATAGATAACAATTAAGCATACATTAACTTATTAACGTAATGCACATTCACTATATACAATAAAATATTAATTGCACGTGCAACTTACGTAATATTTATTGGAGTCGTGACAAAATTGTGAATAGCATGAGTATCATTCGTACCACGTGCTATTTTGTGTCTGAATTCATTTTTAAAAACGAAAAACACCCGAGTTTCTTTGCCCTGTGGCAGATGTAGAGCAGAAGTTAACACACTTCTTGTGTTAGCTTCCTCTCTTTTAATTACCTCTTGTAAGTCCGCACGGGTTGGTACCACCACCCTGCCCGTTTCTGCCGTGAAGCAGTAATGCGTTTCGGTTTGAAAAGTGGGGCCGCCGTTGTAACTATACTTGAGACCTTAGAACTTATATCTCAAGGTGGATGGCGCATTTACGTCGTAAATGTCTATGGGCTCCAGTAACCACTTAACACCAGGTGGGCTGTGAGCTCGTCCACTCATCTAGCAATAAAAATAATAATAATGGAAACAATGTATTTAAGTTGACTGTTTAAAATGAAAATAATATTTTAAAACACCTGTAAATGAATAAGCAAATAAAATAAAATAAAAACCATTGCCTTTGACTTTGAATAAAACAAAACGTTGAGAACGCTATTGGAATTTTTAAACAACATACAATAAGGTTGTTGACATGAAAACGTTATTCCGAACCGGATACCGATGTTTTCGTACTGGTTTTAAAACCATTTAACGTAAATAACACGAGTTGATGATATAATTATTAATTTTATGTTGCTAAATTACTAAGTTGATGTCTTGATTGCGAACAGCGAGATTAACTTTTTTTTTTTACTAATTATTCTAGTGACCTCGAGGGGTCATACTAGATTCACGGAATGAGTAGGTGAGCTCACGCGGCTCGAAGGCAAATTTTACTAACACTAGCCCTAGCAAGAGTCCTTCCTAAAAGCCACTATCAGATCGGAAACGCGACCCACTGAGAAGATTCGGCGAGAAACTCAGTGGGCTTAGTTTACTCGCCGAGCCCTTCGTCGCAAGCGACGGGTTCGACGAGATTGGTGACTGATGCTTGAGATACCTAAACGCCCTGTTAGTGGATCGAGAGGAGGTAGTGCCTCAATCGATAAATAAAAAACCTAAACGTGTGTATAATAAAATAAACTTAAAACAAACAAAAGGAATCCGTCCGACGGGGGACGCATCAAAGGAAAAACAAAATTGTTATTTTTATTTAATTCCGACCGATTTCATATTTATCTACACTTTAAGCCTTCTCTGGACCTCACAAATAATTCATGATCAACATTAGCCAAATCGGTCCAGCCGTTCTCGAGTTTTAGCGAGACTAACGAACAGCAATCCATTTCTATATTTATAGATTAAAAGGCATTCACATTTCGGAGGGCACACTCTAGGGTCTATGGGAAATGAATAAGGATATCACTGATATTCCTTCGTAATCGATTCACTTGTACGAGATACCGTTGACATGAAAACCGGGTTTTACTTTAGATCATAGTGTCGCGTATTTGTTTAGTTTAGGATATTTTTATTGAGCGTCGTACGAATTCCAAAAATATTCCAATTGAATTCGCTTCAGTTACTCTTCAAGGACCTTCATGAGCTTTAATCACCTTGATACTCTTTTTTTTATTGCTTAGATGGGTGGACGAGCTCACAGCCCACCTAGTGTTAAGTGGTTACTGGAGCCCATAGACATCCACAAAGTAAATGCGCCACCCACCTTGAGATATAAGTTCTAAGGTCTCAAGTATAGTTAGTTACAACGGATATCCCACCCTTCGAACCGAAACGCATTACTGCACAAGAGGTCCTACCACCAGTAATTACGCAAATTATAATTTTGCGGGTTTCATTTTAATTACATGATGTTATTCCTTCACCGTGGAAGTCAATCGTGAACATTTGTTGAGTACGTATTTCATTAGAAAAATTGGTACCCGCCTGAGATTCGAACACCGGTGCATCGCTCAACACGAATGCACCGGACGTCTTATTCGTTAGGCCACGGCGACTTCAGAATTCCCGTTTTTTCTGCTCTAGTTCAATTGATAAGGTTAGAGTTCACCAAGTCAAGCGTTTTCTTTAGTCCAAAGACATTAACAACGCCATGCACATAGAGAAGTGAAGTCGAAGTCTCAACAGTATACCGCTTCGAATACTCTATAGTTTTCTTAATCGTGAACTGTCTCTCTATATTGTAAATGTGGAAATTTGGCTCTTATATATTTATTACTTAATAAGCAAAGATAGTTGTATGGGTCTCAATGAAATTACGCACGAAGATTTAAAGCTATAGGGTACTTTTTGCAATGCAAGTAGTAAGTACCCTTGCTTCGCTTATCCTTCAAACGTTTAAGTTCAAAATAGGATTATGTAGTTTTTATTAATTTGCTACACATGTTTTTTATGTGTGTTAGTTTCGTTCGCTGGTAAAATGGGGTTCTGGTTTGGAAACTGTCATGCGTGTAATTTGACAATTTAGCTCTCAGATACAAACAGTTTTTTACTGGTGGTAGGACCTCTTGTGAGTCCGCACGGGTAGGTACCACCGCCCTGCCTGTTTCTGCCGTGAAGCAGTAATGCGTTTCGGTTTGAAGGGTGGGGCAGCCGTTGTGACTATACTGATACCTTAGAACTATATCTCAAGGTGTGTGGCGCATTTACGTTGTAGATGTCTATGGGCTCCAGTAACCACTTATCACCAGGTGGGCTAGAAGCTCGCTCGTCCACACATCTAAGCAATAAAAAAAGAAAAAAAAACTAAAGCTGCTTTCAGACTACGCTATACTATAGTGCTATATAGTATAGCAGCCTGTACTTACACAATAATATATAGAGCAGTACAATGTGAACGTGCCCATAACAATGTATGGTGTGCGATATTGTTGTGCTATGAGCTATATACTATATATTATAGCGTAGTCTGATTTTTTTTTCCTACCCAAGCTAATAGCCTTTAAAGGCTATGTCAGCGTCGCCTTAACTAGTAGGTGAGCTCACGGGGCTCAAACCTGATGACGTTGCTAACACGAACCCTAGCAAGAGCCGTGCTTCGCAGAATCTACCACCGGATCAGTAACGCGACCCACTGAGAAGATCCGGCGAGAAACTCAGTGGGCTGAACGTAGTCTGAAAGCGGCTTAATAAGCGGAATATTAAGATGTGTTTCCAACCGCCCTGAGCGCTATTTGACACTTTGACGCGAATCCCTGAACAACGCAGCTAAAGATACCGTTTGACTAGCTCTCCTCGTAGTTGGTGTAATAATTTCTGGATAGTGAGTGGTGTTTTGTATGATCTCTGATACTTCATTAGTTCTCACTGCGTGAGACAGAAGCATCGACCGGTGAGTCGCCCCACAGAAAGTATAAAAATAATTATTGTCTTTCTAGGTCGACTGATTTACGGCCCATTGATGATTAGCGGCTATCGTGGTCCCCGTGGTCGTGAGCACTGCCAGCTCAACCATTTCGCTGCCTATATACACAATCATTGGGTTTTGTTTACACGGGTTTTTAGTTTTTTAGTTAGACCTCTTGTGAGTCCGCACGGGTAGGTACCACCACTCTGCCTATTTTTGACGTGAAGCAGTGATGCGTTTCGGTTTGAAGGGTGGGGCAGCCGCTGTAACTATACTGAGATCTTAGAACTTATATCTCAAGGTGGGTGGCGCATTTAGCTTGTAGATGTCTATGGGCTCCAGTAACCACTTAACACCAGGTGGGCTGTGAGCTCATCCACCCATCTAAGCAATAAAACAAAATAACAAATAAAACTACTCACCGAATTGACAGCAACAAAATAAAAACGATCTAAATACAGTCTTCACTGAAAGTCTTCATACATCGTAACTCACTGAACACTTAAAAAAAAAACTTTGCAATTATTATTTTTAATAAATTTTAAATCTTTTCCGAACGAAGCCGGACGTGTGATCGCGCGTGGAATCGAATCCGGACAGTCCGACTACGGAGGTCGCATTTGTATAAATAGCCGGGCGGCTAAGACAAGTATTGTAACACTTCATTCGCTGTCCGGTGTCTTTATGACCTATGCGATGTACTAAAATCATTTCAACGTCAGTTATTATTATTATTGTTTTTATTGCCCTTGTAGGCAGACGAGCATACGGACCACCTGATGGTGAGTGGTTACCGTCGCCCACGGACCTCAGCAACGCCGGGGGCAGAGCCGGGCCGTTGCCTACCGCTTAATACTCTCCCCAAGCCTCTTTTAAAGAAGGAAATGTCATAGCGCTCGGGAAACACCGTGGAGGGGAGCTCATTCCATAGCCGGATGGTACGTGGCAAAAAAAGCAGGTCATTGGTGTATACGTAAGCTCTCCAATTACTTAAAACATCTCGATGCAAAGGTTAACTAGAATAGATCGCTTTATTAGTCCACCCAATGTACTTTAGTTTTAAATTAAATTTTTTCACATTCAATTTGTCTGTATATATCTGCCGTGAAGCAGTCATTCGTTTCGGCTTGAAGGGTAGGGCAACCGTTGTAACTACACTGCTTAGAACTCTGTCTCCAGGTGGGTGGCGGCATTTACGTTGTAGATGTCTATGGGCTCCATTAACCACTTAAAACCAGGTAGGCCGTGAGCTCGTCCGCTATCTAAGCAATAAAAAAGAAAAAAAATTGTTGTTAGTTTGGTGTACCTAAGCACGTTCAAGTATTTTGCATTACATTCCATTGTATAGTATTGTGAGCTATGCATACTCGCTATGCCATAGTGCAAATATATGGATTATTACGCGAATCAATTTTTAATTCTAGTATGCGATCTTACAGCCCACCGTGTATTAGTTATTAGAGCCATAACCTTACGACGACAATTTTGTGTGAATGTATGCTTATCGCAATGATAGTACTTACTGGTGGTAGGACCTTACTGGTGGTAGGACCTCTTGTGAGTCCGTACGGGTAGGTACCACCGCCCAGCCTATTTCTGCCGTGAAGCAGTGATGCGTTTCGGTTTGAAGGGTGGGGCAGCCGTTGTAACTATACTGAGACCTTAGAACTTATGTCTCAAGATGGGTGGCGCATTTGCGTTGTAGATGTCTATGGGCTCCAGTAACCACTTAACACCAGGTGGGCTGTAAAAAACAAAGTACAAACGTGTATGGATGTAAAATACGGCTTACCATCACTGAAATCTATTTAACAAGCTTCATCATACGACAATTACGTCCAGTATGTGTTTTTTAAACGTCAAGCATATTAACACTAACTAACGTTAATTTTGATGCTTCAAATGGCCTTCAGCTCTAACTAGTTACAAACTGTGTCAGTCAAGATACTCTTATCAGTTGTGACTTTTATTATATTTGAAATGCTACGCTATAGATATTGATTTTTTTTCTGTTGTTTTCATATTAATGCTAAGGTAATTTTAAGCTTAGATTTTAGTTAAATTTGTAAACTATCACATTAATAATTTGTAAACTATTGCATAGTTTTTATCGCGGGCTTTGAGCGCGGCGACCGAATCAAGAAATTCTGTAACGAAAATAAAACCTAACACCCCCACTCCGCCTACTATGTAGCTCGCGTTCAACACATTTACACGTTGCGCTTGTGTAATGTTTGTGAATAAGCGCGCGGCGTGACGTCGCACTGCATGCGCATAATGAAAAGTCTGTCCGTCTCTCTCTCGCGCGGTCTAGGTTATGAGTGTGAAGGGGACAGTTAAGGTTTTGCTTTTGTTAATGTTTATAAATACAGCGTGGTCTTATTTTTTATTGTTTTAATAATAAATTATTATAGTCTAATTATAATTGCATAAGTTGATAAAAAATTCCATGCAATAGCTTTACCGCGGCAGTCCCCGAGTGATACATGTGTTTCTTTTTAATTGAAATTAATTGCCATCTTAATAACTTAATAATTGAAAAACAGTTTAAGTTGCAGCGGTCGTCACTTGCGCCCAGTCATCGTTAGAGGGTTAAGATATCGTATTAATATCTCTCGAAGTCACATCACACATCGGCGAGTGTTTACGTTATGATAACACACATGCACGGCTCTTTGCCGCAAACTAAATTGTGCATACATATGTATACATTTGTTGTAGACACGACCCTCTTACTTAGATAACATTGATGTAGTCAGTTCGTAATTAAGCTTACAGTTTTCAGCCTGTTCTCCCTCATCATAGAGTGTCCTGCTATTTTTACACGCTTTGTACTTGTATGTATGTTTGTATGTTTGTAACTGACTCCTTTATACGCGATTTTGACCCACTTTAACCGGCCAGATTTCATTCAAACTTTGTAGATTTATCGAGGACCGATGACAATACACTAATTTGATAAGATTATTCCATTATTCAATTTGCAAAATAAGATTATTGCCAATTTATATAATTTTTATCTATAGTCGATAAGGCAGGAATTGATGTTAAAGTACTTAATAGTTTTAAAAATACGCTTTTATAGAAAATGTAACTAAAAAAAGAAAAATAAATAATTCTTCTACTCATATCTGTCAGAAAAATATTTATAACTAATCATGCACCCACGCTTTTTTTACAATAAAATATATTTTACACTATTTTCAATTTAAATTTATTAAAATTTATTTTCTATTTTTTTGTTGAATTTTATGTAAAGCGTGTTTTTTTTTTTAACTATAAGTTATTTTTTATTGACAATGGTTAGGCAGCACAATTTGGCCTATTGCTGCCGCGTAGTTTGTAAAGTGGAAAAGTCGTTTCTAGATCTAGGAACATCTCTTAAGGTAACATTTTAATACTATATGGGCCGTCAGTACTAGCCGTATGCAGCCATAACAACATACCGCGTTGATTCATTTAATATTTATACTTTGTACCGAATATCTGTACTTTGCATTTTCTATGTCACTCGGTCACGTATGGACAGTAAATATTTAAATTATAGTATTTACTTTTATCCAGAGAGTAGCAAATCCTCTGCTTCTGTTTCATTTTTTTTTTGGTTTCAAAGATTACTGGTGGCTCGGAGGCCTTTCCAGTTTCACCAGGTGGGCGAGCAAAGGTTAGTAATACTAGTACTCGGTCACACATTACTCATTTGCTGATTATGAAAATTTCCAATCCTTGAACGTAAACCTTTTTTATTGTTAGCGTGGGTGGACAAAGCTCACAGCCCACTTGGTATTAAGTGGTTACCGGAGCTCATAAAAATCAACTAGGTTAATGCCACCATCATCTGAGAGTTGAGTTCTAAGGCTTAGTTTTTACAGTCTAACGGCTGCCCTACCCTTCAAAGCGAAACGCATTACTGCAAAGTCGCTCTCCGCTTATTGTAAGTAGACAGAAACCTTTTCTGGAACTTAGGAACGCATAGAGGATAAACATACATACATGTAGGATTGGTAAGAACGTAACGTATGAAAAGAGTGTGGAACGGAGTGTTAAGAAGTGAGTAAGAGAAAACGGAAAGAAAGGGAAAAGAGAATGACAGACAGAATGACAGAGAAAAGGAAGATGGCGAGGACGGTTAAAAAATGAGCAAGGCGTAATAAAAGTGTTAATAATTTTTTAATTATTACTAGCTGACCCAACAGACTTCGTAGTGTCTCAATCGATAAATAAAAGACCTAAACTTTTGTCTATACTAATATTATAAAGAGGAAAGATTTGTTTGTTTGTTTGTTTCGAATAGGCTCCGAAACTACTGGACCGATTTGAAAAATTATTTTTCCATTAGATGCCGACATTGTCCCTGATGAACATAGGATACTTTTGTTTCATGTGTGTTTTAATGTTTCCGAAGCGAAGCGAGGGCGGGTCGCTAGTATAAAATAAATTAAAACAAAAAAACTTGTTATTTTTATTTAACTCCGAGCATTTTCATATTTATCTACCTTTTAAACCTTCTCTGGACTTCTACAAATAATTCAAGATCAAAATTTATCAAATCGGTCCAGCCGTTCTCGAGTTTTAGCGAGACTAGCGAACAGCAATTCATTTTTATATATATTGTAGAACTCCACTTCCAACAATCAGGAAATAATACACAGATTGCAGTAGTTTACTTAATTCTGTATTACTTTATTTGTAACTCCACTTTTACAATCTGCTCACTACCGAATACACTGCTTTTCTGTCGCGTTTTTTCAGACTACCGCCTTTTTTATTATGTCACGTCCCCACTACAGTTACTGTAATTGCTCCCACCAACAGTGTTTCTATTTGACAATCCGAAAATTGTCTAGCATTAACAAATTTAATTATTTTACAACAAATCTTACAATATAGATTATTACAACACAAGATTTTGGAACAGTACTAGTTTTATTTTATGCACTGCGATCCTTATTCTACATACATAATATCCAAAGTTTTTTTTTTCCAATACATATTATCTACAAAATAGATATCTTAAACAACGGTCAGTGCAACTTAAGTTTAATAACAATCTTGTGCTTATCGACTATCTTATCTATTATGGTTCTTTATTACGAAGCTGAATCAGATAATTTTATCTCGACTTTCTCAGAGATAAAACGTACTATCAGTTTAAATGAGTTACTGTCTATCTCTGCATAATGCGTTTCTCTCAATCGCGGTGCCATTTCGATCTTTATTTAGACAAGTTTCAATTTAATGTCTTCGTGGGCGCGTAATTATTATCTGCCTTTTCTGTTGACTATTTGAAAATTACTAGCTGTGCCGCAGTAGTCGAAATTAGACTATAATTAATTGGAATTATAAATTTGAACATTATTGTCAAAGACTATATTATATTTCTATAATCACAGATTTCGCCAAGACTACATTATAGACAAATTATTATGTTCGAAACCAATCCGTTAGTTTTTGAATTCTTACCACGGCAACACGGGTCGCGATTTGACGGTGCCGTCGCGATTGACATCTGTCACTTTGTCTTGCTTCTCGAACGGGACGGTACCTGTATATTGACGGTCTACGCTAAAGTTGTGTATCATCGCTAATC